ATTTTCAGATCTGACCAATTCTACTGACTAGTGAAAACTTTTTTTCTGGGTTATTCTCATTTCAAGTGAGGTAGACTGCTTAAATAAGGCACACACACAAAAAAAAAGATCTCTTTTCACGCCTTAGACGCATCGGGCATTTGGGATTAAATCAGGTAAGAAAGTTAAAAACAAAAACAGAATTGATGACTAGGTAAATCCCGTTTTACAAATGTTTATGAACTATATCATTATTTGATTTTAATAAACAGAAATTTTTGTAAATAATAATAATAATAATCAGGTCCTTTTATGGCGCTCTATGGACAACAGGATTGTTACAGCTGATGTCCCACACCTTAAAATTAATAAAAGAAACTTCAAAGAGAAAGTAAATGCAGCTTATTTTCTTTCTGTTATCTGCTATTCTCTCATTCTTTGCGAATTTACATGCTCAGAAAAATCCATTGTAAACTATTTCTTGAAAAAAAAATAAGATTAAAAAAAAAAAAAGTTGTAATATCATGTGGTATGGTATTAAGCAGTGAGCAGATACATTTAACATGACTGATGAATTGTCTTTCTGTTATCTGCTATTCTCTCATTCTTTGTGAATTAACATTTTAATACTGAGAAAAATCCATTATAAACTTTTTCTTGAAAAAATGACATATAATTACAAAAAAGTTGTAATATCATGTGGTATAAAATATAAAGCAGTGAGCAGATACATTTAACATGACTGAATCCCTATCTATATGACTGGTTCAAAAATTATATTTTTTAAACATTTATATGCCAAAACAATCACCAGGAGAAATCACATACACAAACATGAGGTATTTTGATAAAAAACATGATGTGTAGTTATTAACAATATAAAAACCAAGTACACACATACAGAATGTAAGTAGTTTATGCTCAGAAAATATTAGATTTTATAAAACTCTATACATTAAGGAATTCAACATATTTTGTCACTGAATATAAAATGTTTTAGTCTAAGTCGAGGTTTCAACTTTACTGCAGTTTCTGTGCCAGGGCAAATGAAATGAATTGTCCCTCACTATCCCATTTGAAAAACCAGTGAAGTAACAACTGTACCAGCATAAACCAGAAATATTCGCCTGCAGTAAATGCATATGGCAGTTGCTAGAGGTGACAAAACCAACAGTCGCCATCAGAAATGCAGCTTGTCATTGATGGAAGAAGCCGGTCACAAGTATTTGGGGTAGATTTTAAACTCCAAATGCCGGGGCAGCGCTGTTAGACTACTCTTTTTTAAATTTCCAACTGCCAAGGGATTTTTTTATGTGCGCAATAATACACAGAGGCGTCCTATCTTACTACCCAGAGACCAGGGAAAATTACTATAGGTCCACGTGAAAAAATACTAGTCTTCACCAGGGCTTGAACCCAGGACCTCTAGCACTCAAGGCGGACGCCATGCCTCAAGACCATGCAGCTCCCATGTATGTGACATGTAATGGTACAACAGGACAATGAATGAATATATGAGACTGGGTTGGCCCCAGAACTGTACAGGAGAGAAAACAACAACCTGCTACGGTTAGTTTCACATTAGTCCCCCTAGAGCCGGCACATATACACACTAGCTTACTTCTGGTTGTTAGTTCCTGAGCCGCGTGGACTTCGCACACTGCTGGGGAGGGGGGGGGGGGGGGGTGTGTGTGTGTTCCGCAATGCCATTGAAATCATGTGTTGTATATTTCAGCACGCTAGCTCTTTTAACGCTTAAAAAAACACACGGAGAAACCCCTCTAGAGAGTGCTGGAACAAATGGCACAGGCATTCTCTTTCTCAGAAAAAAAAAATGTAAATGCAAGACAAGCCAGAAAGCAAACAACAGAGCGGCACATCAGTTAACCCCCCCCCCCCCCCCCCCCCCCCCCCAAAGTAGACCAGTCCAACAAATTAAAAAATGGAACATGACTTACTTTGTTTATGGAGACTAACATCGAACTAAATCCCTGCTACTCTTGAGATCTGGAACCTGTCTTGGCAGGTAAGGTGCTAACCACTGGTGCTCATCACCAAGCCTTAACTCTGTGGAATGTCTATGTAAACCAACAAAGCCAATACCAGGATAGGTGACTGGCCTGTTGTACCCTTGCATGGTGGAGGTATACGTGATCCTTAGAGATAAACTATGGGGTGAAGACCTTAAATATGCCACCTTATGACTTATGCCAGAATAGACACATAGCAAATGGCCATCACTATGAAAACAAAAAAAATTTTTTTTTTTACCATCTAACCTAAATTAATGATAAAGAGCTGGAACAAGAAATTAAAAACAACAAAATACAAAACACAATTACTTTCAAACCCATTTAACCAACCAGAGTATGTACAGTATGTTACAGACAATTCAGAATGCAAATGCTCATCTACAAGTATATGTATATATAATAGGAAATCTTTTTGTTAAAAAGTTATGAAAAACAATCAACCCCAGGGTCCATGAATATAACAAACAATGACAGCAAATGTGTAAACAGGTTCAATGAATAAGCATATAATGGAGGGAAAGGTCTTCCAAGCTAGTTTAATGAACATTAAAACATGATGCGGAAAAGCTGTGCAAAAAGTTCAAGGAATGTAACAGACAATGAGAGAAAAGACTGTGAAATCTGGTTCAATGATTGTCGGTCAACAACACAAAATGATCAGCTAAAAACAGTTGATCAAATTTATGTACAGATACTACATGCAATGAAAAACAAGTGGTAGTTTTGTCTGGCGAATAATAATTGAGCAAGAATTTGAGCTATTTAAGTACAGTTATTAATGGGTGAGGACAACTGTTCTCAGGGATTTTATTAAAATAACTTGAATGATTCAGAACTTTGTTTATACTACCCTACTTTGCTACTTCACATGACTAACTGTTGGTGGACTGAAGGCAATTAACTGCAATGAACCAATAAGTATTGGATACTGCTGAAGGTGTCTTTCTAATACTAGGGATGATGTTCTAGAATAGTGGTTCTCAACCTTCCTAATGCAGTGACCCTTTAATACAGTTCCTCATGTTGTGGTGATCCTTTAATACAGTTCCTCATGTTGTGGTGACCCTTTAATACAGTTCCTCATGTTGTGGTGACCCTTTAATACAGTTCCTCATGTTGTGGTGACCCTCCACCCATACACATATTTTTGTTGCTACTTCATAACTTCAGTGAATATGTGTTTTCCCATGGCCTTTGGCGAAGTTTGAGTCGCCGTTGCAAGGAGTGCCAGGATATCTGCAAATGTGAATCTCCTGACACATGACATACCAGAAAATGAGAAACGTAAAGCTGCATATATATTTACATCAAGACTTGAAACTTTGTGGCAGATAAGAGTTGAATAGTGTTCTGGGAGGACATGTCTTGCTGCACTCCCTTCCATGACCTGCCAGAATTCTGCAGCAACGTGGCAGTCAAGGATCCAGGTGCTATTTTCAGGACTGAGAGCACAGAAGTGGACCAGCCAGAGCTCAAGCAGCAGTATTCGGTCATTTCAATGGAACAGATAGTGTGTGAACACATACTAGTGTATTTCCATTTAAATATTTTTTTTTTAACACTGTGTATCTCATCTAGCACCAGTATCTTTTTCCTCACCTCTTGATTCAATTAGTTTAGTTCTCTTTATGAACTCCACACTAGCGATTCATTTCTTTTATTTATTCTATGGCAATAAACATGAATGCAGAAGAGAGAAAGAAATTATTGAAGTCAAGTCCCAATGATTAAGCACGATCCATTTCACAGGTAAATTTCTGAACATAAATCTTAAATAAAAATACAAAGAAACATAATATCTTAGTTGTTACAGTTGTACAGTTATTATAAAATAAAGAGTTTATCTTCTGATAAAATAAAGTGTTAAAATAATCATAAATTAAAATTAAACATCTCACACTTCGATACACTGGCAATCTCTGAGTATGCTGATCTGTTTTCATAATATAGTTTTCATAGTAGCACCATTAATAACATGAGTTTACTGTTGTCAAACATCTCACACTGCAATACACTGTTTGGCAATCTCTGAGTATCCTGATCTGTTTTCATAATATAGTTTCCATAGTAGCACCATTAATAACATGAGTTTACTGTTGTCAAACATCTCACACTGCAATACACTGTTTGGCAATCTCTCAGTATCCTGATCTGTTTTCATAATATAGTTTTCATAGTAGCACCATTAATAACATGAGTTTACTGCTATCTTGTAGTTTAAAGAGATTTGTTGGGAAGGTATAATCTCTGAGAAAATATTCATATACAGTGGAACCTCAGATACGAGTTTTTTTTGGATAGGAGTTGTTCAGGATACCAGATCAGGCATACCAATCTTTTTTCTTTTTAGCTCCAGAATACGAGGCGAAATCTATGATGCCAGCTGGAGAGATGAGAACTCTCGCTGTTACCCAACAGCATCTCAGTAACTTTCAGATGGATTAAGTCACATTAACATTGCCAAAGGATGACTTAAGCCAGTTGACCAGGTGTTTGAAGATGATGGACTAGCATCATGGTTGCAAGTAACCTTGTTTTTGATGCAGAAAAAAGTCCCACATATTTCCGCTTTAATGGAAAAAAAACTTCAATAGGGTGATTTTTGGAAGGCTGGAACAAACACAAATTATTTACATAAATTTTAATGGGAAAAAACATAGCTTCAGGATACTAGTTGTTTACCATATGAGCTCAGACATGGAAAATTCGCATCATTAAGTTCCACTGTACACAGTAATATACTTGAGGGGGAGGGGGGGTGTGGTGGTGGAGGAGACAGTTTTTTTTAAAAACACAACGGCCACAGTAGCACAATTAACACCATGAGTTTACTCCATTTAGTTAGTCTGTAGTTTCAAGAAAATCAATGTGAATAGGTAGTCTTCTTTCTTTGAGCAAAATATTTACAATCACACATTCTCTTCCGCTCCACTCATTCTTATCTTAAAATTTATCACAGATTATCAGCTATGAGTTATCCACAAAATGTCACTGATTGCGAGACAAGCCTTTTGTTTTGTGAATGATTCGATTTGGTGGAATATCTCGATCTTGTGTTAAAGAAAATCGCACTTTGGAACTGGATTTATCGGACAAGTTTATAGAACTTCCTGGAGTCAATCTTTTTGGCTCTACTAGAGGAGGTCTTGAAGCCAGTCTTGCTGACTGATCAGATTCGAACTGTAGCCTGGTCCTGGGTATATCTTTTATGTGATGAGTTTGATGCTTTCTATGAAGTTCATATCTTTGATGGAGTATGTCCGGAGAATTTACTGTACTTGTTTCTGCATGCCGCTGGTTCTGTATCTGCCTGTATGGCAGTGAATCATTACCCTGCCTGTTACCTAACCTGAAGCTATTTGCTTCTGGAGATAAGTGCTGAGAATTTTCTAACCGCTGCAGTGGCTGGCGAAAACCTGGAACTTGACGTTGGGCCTGGGGGCAATGCACTTTTGGTCTAGCACCGCTATGTGTGTCTATGGAATTCACATCTAAGGCTTCAGAGAAATACTCGGCAACATGCTCCACTGACAAGTGTAGCTCATTGTCCGACAGTTCATCCACAGCATGTGACCAAACACATGTTGTTCTGCCAGGTTTGTCAACGGCATTTGAGGTTTTCTGAACACCATTTTCCCCTGAAAGCTGACGAGATGGCGAATGAGTATGCTGGTATGGGTGAGGTTTGGATGGCTGGGGCTTGTGAGGCACTGGCTTCATCTGCTGTAGAGTTAACAGGTCGGATCTTTGTTTGTAAAAATGTGGATCTCTTATGTTTGTTTCTCTTCTCTGGTGATTAAACAGTTCACGGTCACCTGCTTGTACGGTGTGTTTCTTGTCTGTAGTAGCAGGTGCTCCAAGAAAACATTTACTAACTCTATTTAAATCATATTTCAAGTGATCACGATCTAAATTTTTCTGAATGTAGTTTTGTTCTGAGTCAGTTTCGCCTGCACATAAGGGAGGACAGTACATCCCGGATACATAACCCTCCCCATCTGATGCTGAACTAGAGCCCCTGCCATGTTTCGCCTGCTCACAAGACTTTTTGTTTTCCATTTGAGAAGCTCCACTGAAATGAACATTTAATTTCTTTGTGGAAGAAACTCCACCATGAACTTTTGAATGGTTGGCTTTGTCTACATCTTGATGATTTGTATTGTAAACCTGTCTCTGTATTGTATTCTTCCCCCTGCCTCGTGGTGACACTGGAATGTTCGAGGTGTCTCTGTTGCTATAAGGTAAGAGCTGCTGGTGTAGCTTAGTACCTGATCTAGACTTTGGATTTAAACCACTGAGTGGAGTTTGAAAAAATGACTTTTGAGAGACAGGTGTATTAACACTGAGATCTGTTACTGCGGAGGACCCATAAGAATCCATGATGAATTTCAAAGCATCGCTATGAGGTACCACAGCTACTTCATTGTCTTCTAGATCCTCCAAACTCTGAAGCCTCTGAGGCAAGTCTTCAATCTGTTTGAAAGCATTTGGGGATAGTTTTGCTTCTGCCTTTTTAACACTGATAACTCTGTTCATTTTAGAAGCAGAGCTAGCTGGTGAAGAGTCCTCACTGTTTCGAATCATAGACGAACCACTCTGACTTTTCCAGCTGCCTTTGATTTTATGAGACAAAGGACTCGTTTCTGGGCTACCCTCTCGACTGACACGGAGGTCCTCTAAAGTCAAGGCAAGACCTTCCCGCTCCGGCTGGTTTGAGTCAAAGGATGAATTGCCTTCGACATAGTTCCTTAAAGACTTTGCCATCAAAGCCACAAGTTCTTGATCTGTAAAAGGAGAATCACCTTTGCAGGCTTCCGTACTCCCTGAGTTTGCAACATTTAACGAATTCTGGACTGGAGATCTGTATGAATAAACAACTGGACAGCTAATCTGTTGATCAGTTACAGAATCATTTTTCCTTTGGGAAGCCAAGTATGACTTGGATTTCTGAACTTCTAATTTACTAACTGTCAGTGTTGAGTCCAAATTAAATGGACTACTGCAGTTCATTGCAGCTAAGGCAGGAATCTGTGTTGTGTTTGTTTTCTTTATTTCATTTGTGTGGTCCCTTGTTTCATCGTCTGACAGTTCTTCACGACCAAATGATTCAAAAATTTCTGCCAATGCACTTTGTGATTCCTGATGCTGAGAGAAACGTTGAAGATTATTTTGTTGTGAAATATTTAATGATTCTTTGTAACTTGAATTAGAATCCATGAAAGCCGTGTCATGGCTATAGACAGACACACTATGGGTTGAATTTAAACTGTCTTCCTGACTCAAAGCTGCAGAATTACTAGATGAGACTGACTGATTCCTGACTGAAGCACCTTCAATTGAAGATGAATTCCCCATTGCGGCAGCAACTGTTGCTGCAATAGTGGCCCTTATTCGAACATGCACATCCTTCCACAGATTGGAGACATCAAGAAGGGATAAGCTTTTTGCTTGGCTACTGAATGAACTACTATCACTGACTCTTTTTTCAGTAGAAGAGGACTCATCGAAGCCCAGAAGACTGAAGTCTCCCATGATTAATGGCTTTATGTTTTGGTCAGACAGCCTTGACCAGGAGTCCTTGCTAAGTGTAGGACTCTTAGATCTGCCACTGAAGTTATTCACATTATCACTTTCACTGGTATCTTGTGCCTGCTCTCGCTTCAGGCTATCTAATTCTGCTGCTGCTAGATCAAAATTTCTCTGTGGAGATTTGCTCAGTGAGTTTCTCTCTGACAGCGGAGGTAGCAAGCTACTGTCACTAGCTGCAGACCCATGTGACTTATCGGACTGAAACGAAGATGAGCGTTTGATTAAACCACTTCGATTTTCTGTAGAAACTATAGAAGAAGACGAACTGCCTGAAGAAGATTCCATACCACTTTGCCAAACCATCTGCAGGGTCTTTTGTGATAAATTGACAAACGAGTTAGTCTTTCTGAAGCTGTTGGTTTCATCCAAGTGACTGATGTGAATGCTAGTGGATGCCACTGGCAAAATGCTTGCATTAAAGCTGATTTGAGAAGATGCGCTCTCTACTAGTGACAGAGTTTTAGGCGATTCTACGCTGAAGATTTGTAGATCAGTCTCCTAAAGAAATAAAGAATAAATACAATTCTGTATTAAAAATACTTCACAGCTAAAGTACAAGTGCATTTTATAATATATTAACTCTTTATGGACGTTTAGCCAGTATACTGGTGATTAAGTCTATCCCTTAAAGACCTATAGCCAGTATACTGGATCATGATAGAGACACTCACTTTTCTGAACAAGTTTTTTAACAATTAGGATTAACAACAGGAAGTACTTTCCTTAGCAACGTTCATCGTGGTCAGTGCATTATTTTGTGATTTTAAAAAATTATTTAAATAGGGTAAAATTTTTACGTGATTTTCAAAAGATGAGGAAAAAGGTCTAGAACTGTTCACACTGCTCTATCGTTGATGAATCTCTGCCAGATGATAACAACAGTCTTGAAATTATGACTGAATCCAAGTGACAAATCTACTAGCGATAATTTAGTTTGGGATATGAAAATTTTACAAAATGTTTAGTCAGATCAATTTTTCGATCAGCTATTCCGCCTGATTTTCGGTTGTGAAAATTGACATGTCATACAAAAATGATCATAACATCCAAAGTATTTAAATTAATTGTTTCAAATAAAAACTAACTGATACATAAGTGAACAGAGAAGGCATGTGCATTCTTAGAATTGGATAGCAGTTAGTTAGTTAGTTGGGTTATCCTCATTGCACTCTGGACATGTCCATAGGTGCTCAGATCCTCCCCTCAGTATGAACCCCAACGTCCGATGGCTAATAGTACCAGTTCTATGTTGATTAACAAGTCTTCTGGCGTGTCTGGTGTGCGTCTCGTTTTTTTTGCTGTGCCGATCTTAATTCCCAAGTCTGCCATTCTGGCGAGTGATGTGGATTCACTGCCACCAAAGTCCTCTATCCTTCCCATTTCTCTGAGGGCATTGATAATATCAGCATGATCCATAGGCTGACCGTCGGTTGTGATAGCGGATCCAGCCAAACTATCAGCTCTTTCATTTCCATCGACGCCTGCGTGTCCCGGAACAAAAATAAAGGTGACTCCACGCACAGTGGACTTCTGTAATGATTCAAGCCATTGTCTTCGCGCTGAACCTGCCTGAACCCTCCGGATCATACTCATTGAACACTGAGTATACATACGCAGGTGTATTTTTGTGTTTCAAGCCAGGCAAATGCTTGCGTCACTGCCATCACCTCTATTGTCATGCTGCTGGTTGTCATGGAGAAGGCGCCGTTGCCGTTGGATAGCAGTGTTGTTGAACAAGTAAAAAAAATAAGGTAAGCACACATTTTTTGTTGTTAATAATTTTCATGTGTCTAACTTCCTTGAATATTGTGTGAGTTTAATAATATTTTGTTGTAATACTGACATTTAAATAGTTTAGATTTATTCTGCACTCATTTATCTTTAATTTGATATATGTCCAATACTTTTTTTTCAGGTAAGTTTTAGCATTGCTGTGTTGCAGTAAAAAAAAATTCCGCTCAAAATTAATGCTGTCCAAACCCCAGAAAAAATGTCGTCCTGAAAGAGTTAACCATGGTGGTGTAGTGGCTAATATGCCTGTTTACAACAGAGACTGGTCAATGTAGAGAATACTGATGTTTCCTTTGAAGTTGCAGTGTATCTGCTTTATAGATGAGGAACCAACAGTCTGCACACAAAACTAAAGTTAAGAGGTTGATAAACAGCCAGGACTTTCCGCCGCCTACATTTAATGCTTTCATTTCAGGAATGCTAAATAATAATAAATCATGAAAGTCTAAACGTTCTAGAAAAAAAATCCTTAATCCTACCAGACCGCTGGCCCAATTTTCCAGGAATTTTCTAGCCTGATGCTATACTGCTGGCCTGATTTTTCGGAAATGTGCGTAGTACGTGAAAAATATGCATCACAAACTAAAAGTAACCAGCCAATAGCCATCAGACTTTGTAGTTAATCATTGCGAATGACTTCCCACATAAGTTGAGATTTCTTTGTGTGGTTTAATGTGAAAAAATTCAGAAAATTCTCAATGAAACGAGCGGCTTCGACAAAAAAGTGACGTAGGTCTAGGCTTTTCACAGTCCAACAGGTGATCGATACTTTGGTTAATTCCGACTGTGAATACATTCATGAAGAATACGTTGCCAGTTGAAGTGACAGTTAGCGAGAGCCAGAGTGAGGAGGAGAATTATGAAAATTATAGATTTAAAACTAGATCGATAGTAAAAGAAGGGGGCGTGTCCCTCAGACAGCAACATTTGGTGCTCACTTTGTGAAACAAGGCTGATCCTGCTGGGTGGATTGGCACACAAAGGTAGAATATTGGTGCTAGATGAACGGTAAACCTATTTTCTACAATGTCTCCAAGTTTTATCTTAATCTAACCACTTGTTTGCATGTGACTAATATTTTTGTACATCATGTTGGTTTTTTCGCGTTATGCCCAGGAGCTCAGGTATAGAGTACAGTTAGGTTCAGGGCCTCAGGTGTGGCGCGGTAATTTAAGTCACAGGTGTGAGGGAAAGTTAAGTCTGATGTGATGTGTAAAAGGAGATACTCCGTACCTCACTAGGGCGCCGGTCCTTCACTGTTCTGGTTTTATGGAACCTCATGCAAGACTCCTGCTGCACGTCCCCGTCGTGCGCCACTGGTAATGTCTCAAATGAGCATTAACAGAGTTGGCAGGAGATCTCGGAGCTAGCAGCTCCCAGAGGTGTAGTGTCCTTTCTGACCCTCACCAGCCTGCCCCCAAACGCATGGGTGAAAAGTACACCAAAACTCATTCGGTACATGAGTAAAGTCTACTTGGCAAATGTACCACCAAATGACAACTCTCTGTTAAAAGTCTGGAGCGAACGGAAAACTGTGCTGCTGAGACTCAACCCTTGACCAAGAGATTTACCCGCATCCAAGACGAGTAACATCTCTTATGGGTGGTTTCTCACAGTCATATCCTACCTACGTACACCCTCTGTCAATCCTCAGTGTCATCGCCACCGCGCTGAGGTACACAACAACAGCAACTTTTCATCTGCTGGCTAGTCAATAATGTTCAACAAAGTCAGATCCTACGGCACACAAGCAAGCTCAAAGTCCGACCATCACAATTCGTACCGATTAGAAAAAAAAGGCCAAATGTCCGTATACACTGGCCCCACTCGCCCAAGTGCTGGGACCAAACAGTTGAAGCCACGCCTGACGCATGCTTCCCCATACTGTCATGCTAAGGGCACAGTTGAAACAACGTTAAAGGTGTCTAACGTGCAACAAAGAAGAATGTACCTATTTGTGTGTTCACAAAGTCCAGAACCCACCGGCTGCTCCCCGCTGATTCCCGGAGGGCGCAGCCCGTGTTGAGCGGAAAGCTTAATATTCGGTTGTGAGGTTAAGCAGTTATGCGCAGGACGTGACGATTTCTTGGGTGAGCCCAGAACCAGAGCATTATGTATCGGCTCTGCTATTATGGAAGCCTTCTTGGATGGCGGGGAATGCCCATGATCTGCCCCTGCTTTCCCTTGAGGGCCAACCGTCCCACACAGGGCTGTCCCAAAGGGGGTACTCCAGGGGCAAAACAGGTAGAGAAAGGGACAAAGAGGACACCACACAAATAAGGTAACATCTCGACCCACACAAAACTATGGCCACAGTCATCCTAGAAATAGGACTGACGTCTTCCCTCGAAGTCGGAGGCAGGGAACGGCAAAAGGCAATAAAACGGTTGTACGCGCAAAACTCAGGTCCAGGCAAAAGCCAAAAGTTCAAGCGGACGATTAACCTCGACCTTCCGCCGGAATTCAAAGCCGGTGAACGAAGAAGAAGAAGAAGGGCTTCAGGTCTGGTAGGGTTTAAAAAAATTAAAAATTTTACACAGGCCAAAAAAAAAATTAAAATCATTAATCTACATTTAAAAATATTCTTTTTAAAAAAAAAAAATTTATAAAGCAGTGGTATCCAACATTTTTTCAGGTCATGATGCCCAGAATATATGGAAAAACTCCAGCGCCCCCTTTAAGTATACTGCAAGACACACCCCCCCCTTTCCACAAAAGACAACGAAATTTGAATAAAAATAGGACAACAGATGCAGCCAGAAGGGAAACAGACAGAATGGAGACACAGTGTGGTCAGAATGTGTTCTTAATCTACAATAAAATGCATGTTATCATATTAATTAAGATTTGTAACTGTAAATATACAAACTGCTTACAAAAACAAAAAAATATTGTTTTTTTGTTTTATAAATGGTAAAAAAATTTTTTAAATTATTTTATGTATAGATAGTTAAATTGAAAAACAATAGTAATATAAAGGATTAATACAAATGCACTCAATTTCAAAACTGCTTGGACCCCCCCCCCCCTTTCCAGGTTGAAGACCACTGATATAGATATATAAAAGGAGTTATTAAATAAACATGAAGACAGACAAGCATGATATGGAAAACATTCCTGGTGGCTTACAAAATATGTATCAGGGGTCTTATTATTCCTTTACCTCTATCGCTATGGAAAATTCAAGACATCAACTTGGTTTGAGGAAAACTAGTTCAAAAGGAAACTCTCCAAATGTATTTATAGTAATTATATTCATATCATAACCTCCTAAACGCTTGAGCAGGAGCAAACTCAGCCAATAGCATTACCTATGCGTTTCATAAACAGGTCTCATTGTGAATGTTCTGGACCCCACTGTGGGGAAAACAAGAATAGACCCAATGCCTACCCAAAAGCATGTTGTAGGAGCAACTAACTGGGACCTTCTTTCGAAGTTGGGTTGCATTTGCCTGAGAGACAATGAACCAAGCCTGCATACAAATGAATCAAACCTGAAAAACAGATGTGCCTGCATCACTCAGGTTTTGGAACTGGACTAGAGTCCATGAGTGGATGAATAACCAGAACTTTCTGCCAGAAGTTACAGCCGGTGAACGCGAAGAAGAAGAAGATAACAGGTCACTGTAAGCAAGACAGAAAACTGACATTTAAGGTTAATCGGACCCAAACTGGAGGTGTTTGTTTTTTGGCTTCTCAGGGTGACACAGTTAAGAAGAAGAAGAAGAAGAAAAGGAAGAGAAAGACTGGATACTTTACCCCGGGGGGAAAAAAATTCTGAAAAATACAACGAATTAATAATATGTCTACACAAGTCTAAAAAAGACTTGGCACGAGTTGCACCAGGTTCTGTGCTCCACTGGCAGATGCAAGGTAGCAGAAAGGAAAAGGAGGAATAGGTGGAGCCATATTAGACGGAAAGGCTATGTGGGTCTCACACAAAAAGGGTAATAATTTTTGCACCAATGTGGAATAACAACAGGCAGAATAAGAAAACAATGTTTGCGCTTATATTAACTTAAGCACATTAACATACCTCTCTAGCTGTGGATCTAGAAATGCTGGATGAAGTTAAATGTGGAAGGAACAATCTCGTCACTCGTTTTATGGATCCAGACGGGTGAAAAAATGCATAGTACATCAGCATACATGCCAAACCTGTAAAGAATTACAAATGCAATTATAGGTGAGATTATGAGATTAATCTCTGGTAGCATTTCTTTCGTTGCCATTGATATCCTATACTTGACATAAATAAAGAAGACCTTACAGACTTGTATTCATCATCCAGGTGTAGTTTTTTGGGGGGAATATTTCTATTCTATTTGTCTTATCCATCCATCTACCATCCTTTATATATGCATGTCTTCATCCATTCACTTGAAATAAATTGCCTTTACCTGCATTGTAGTAACTTGTATAGAGATATAGTCTCTTTTGGTTCACTAAATGGTCAAAAAGTTTCCTTCCACTCTATTTAATCTATTCCAGATGGTTTGTCTTCCTCCTATGATGAATTCAGGGCAATCTAGGAGTAAGTGATCTGCCGTCAAAGGCTCTAATCTACATGTACACATGGCTGATCAGCCAGTCTTAAACTGTATACACATATGTTATCACACTTGATGTAACTGCACTGTGTACTCAATCATCTGATACAGCAGACACCCCAAAGCACCCCTAGTCATGGTTATTTCAAGATGTGTGTCTACATGTAGATGGGGTATTCATTGTGTCTACTTTTGAGGTAATCATCATCATCATGTGCCCTGCCAACTGGCGTAGGTGCCCATGCGTCTCCACATATCACGATCCCTAGTTGCTTGGAACAGCCCTCTTGATGATATCCCTCCATGCCATCGTTTCAGCCCATCCAGCATCATCTCTCTTGGTCTGCCTCTACCCCTTTTCCCACCGATCTTTCCAGTTGTCACAATGTTCTCCAATGTCTCTATTCTCATTATGTGGCCAAAGAACAGTGTTTGTCTCTTTCTTATTGTTGTATATAGAGATCTACTTTCATTAGCTTCTCTCAAGCAATCGTTGTTAGTTACTCTTGTTGTACAGAATTTTAATTTGTTTTGGTCTGTCCATAAGTGGGATGCATTCCACAAAGGTAAATAAATAAAAAAAAATGCCTTGGACAACCACTGATATCAACAGTGATAAGAGAAAGAAGATGATGATTTATGAGGCGCATTTGCAGACAAAGAATAATAAAAACAGGCATTGCTGTGGAAAACAATTGTATTTAGGAAACACAGTTCAAGAGAGAAATCCTGTGACAAATGTAGAGAGAGAGACCAAAGGGGCAGACTGGATTTCATACACAATATTGAAAGGATTGCATAAGAAAGAACAGAATGGAGAAAACTAATGTGAGCCCTGTGTGTCACAAAATGGCACAATAGGATACTTTCACTAAGGGGTCACTACAGGAAAAAAAATTTTTTTTAAATTAAATTTACAATGTTAGACCAATTATTTTATAATGGTCATTTGTAGGGATGTATGTTGTTACATTAGTAGACTTCAAGGTTAAAAAAAAACACGGTTGCCATGGCAACAGCCGCCATTTTGATGAAAAAACAACATGTACTTAGCTAAAATTTCAAAAACAAACAGAGGTATTGAGAAACAGATGATTGATTCATGAACTTTAAACCTATGTTTAGGGTCAGGTCTAGTTTATTTACTTCAAAGATGTTTCTAAATATTTTTTTAGAATATTAAAATTTAGGTATGTTGAACAAATACAAAAATTTAGCTTTTAGGATAATAATCAAATTTAAAAAAAAAATTAATAAACTGTAATTTTAAATAGACCTGACCCTATAATATTGTGTTAGGAGTAACCACACCAAATTTCACGTCTCTAATCTTTATATTAGCTGAGATTTTAGGAGATCCCACAAACAACCAACAGAAAAATAGAATTGTTAGAAAAGTGACTCTTTAACCTTTTTTTTCTTAAAAAAGTGCATGGGTTGGTGTCTTTAGTATAACCCTTTCAATGCTAACCGAACATTACAAAAATGAACACATTGAAAAAGTGATGTTTTTGTCATAAATAGGAAAAAATGCCATGTAGTGACCCCGTAGAGTAATCTCTCTTATACTGGTGATTTTCTGATCAATTTGAACAGCTGTTTCTGCTGGTGGTTTTTGACTCCTACCGCTGCTGATATCTCACCTTCCTCTTTAATCAGCTGCTCTCTACAGAAGGTATCCACTATATAACAGTCATATCCCAGATGCCAAAAAAGTGGTTCTGTAGTACTTAAAGTCTTCTGGAGTACCTTAAGCAGTATTTTCATCTGTAAAATCACTAGCCGTGAAGTATGGTTGGTATTCAGTACTTTTTCTGCTGCTGCTGTCTTGATTGTCTGGATCTCTGCACAGTAGTACTCTTCTGTTGGTACACTCTGCAGTATCTCTAGTTCTAACTGCACTTTATGCAGACACATTTAGGTAAACAGGCCCAAAAGGTTATGTGAGCATTGAGCATCAAAAAAAAAAAAAAAAAAATTCTGGGTATTTTCCTGTGTTCTCCATGTGGAATATTAGTTGGTTAGTTCGGTTATCATCATTGCACTCCGGACATGTCCATAGGTGCTCATATCGTCCCCTCAGTATGAACCCCAACGTCCGATGGCTAATAGTACCAGTTATATGTTGATTAACAAGTCTTCTGGTGTGTTCTTTGTGAGTCTCGTTTTTTACTATTCTGCTCTCAATTCCCATATCTGCCATTCTGGCGATTTATGTGGATTCACTGCCCCCAAAGTCCTCTATCCTTCCCATTTCTCTGAGGGCATCAATAATAGCATGATCCATGTGGCATATGCAAGACGTGGGTACAGCCTAACTACCATCACCATAGTCTCAAAGCATACAAATTTGAGTCTCTGGAAGCCATTATCAAAGCAGAGACCACAATAAATATTCCTTTCACCGGTCAAACTGCAGCGTATGAGTTTTTCATGTGAAGTTAAGATTGACTTAAACAAATAAAAAAAGTTCATAAAGGATCGACTTTATGTTCAGGCCTGTATTTGCGACAAACCCGATAATTTTAGGAGACCAACAGACAATTGATTGGTGATATGGTCAATATCACAACAGCTGCCTTGACTTCTCAGAACATAAAAAAAAAATATGTTTTGTGTGTACCTAGCAGCCCATGTCTATTAAAACTGACATGAATGAAGATTCAAACCCTTTACTACCACACCAATAGGCAAAGTGCTAGCCACTATATAACTCAGGACCATTTTTCAGGCCTTCAGGCATATGGTGCTAGACCTATATTTTAAAGACCAGACAGCACTGGGTGGGTGATGTGATCAACATCACGTCAGCCACCTTTATTTCCCAGGGTTTTACTTGGTTCCATTTAAGGCTGGGTTGACCTTGCAGCCAATGTCATTTCTTTTTTTAAAGAGTCTGGCTCTGTCAGACCTGCAACCTCGGCCTTTGGATCTGCAGATATGCGTCTAGCCATTACACCATGAGGGCTCCCAGCACTACATTACTTCTACTCCCTAAAATGATCTTGGTCAGTGCAAAATGTGAGTTCTGGCATACCACTGCCTCCACATTCCGACAATTACTGTGTACATTATATAATTTTCACAACAAGGAGGTGCAAAATGTACCTAAGAAGAATCCAGCAATAACAACCAGACAAGGCAACAGAATCATGCTGCTGCCTCCCATGACCAGGAACACTGCCAGCATCCCTTTGTTCTCCAGCAGCGTCAGGAGGTAATATGCGGCAATCCTCCATCTAGACTTGCCTTTGTTGAGGTTGAGGAAGACAAAAATGTAAATGAAGGCACAAACCAGCCGAAACAGCCACCTTTCGTGGCCCCTGCCGTAGTCCGTGCCTCGAACTGAGATCCACACAAATGCTACCAGCCAGTGGGCACCTGCAGGAGAAGAAGCAAAGTAGTTCTGATTAACTCTTTAAGCACCAGACAGGCATAACTTTAACTGACTATATCAAAAGAAGTTGATACTTTAACAAACAGATGTTTAGCTCTGAAGGAATTAAAATAATAACACCAGGGGACAGAAGAGTTAAATTAATAACTGGTGCAGAGTGGTGGTAATAAAACATCTGGATAGGGCACATCGGCATAAGAAAAGGATATTATATTAATAGAAATTAACTAGCACATAATACATGGCGTGGGACTTAAATGAGTTAATTATAAAAGCCAATCTTGATAATCAAATAACTAGAATGTCTTTGCACTGTAACCCTCAAAGTAAAAATAATAAACACCTAGTTGATTATCCCTTACAGGACGTTACAGTACCAAATCCTGCATTTCTTGGGGCTGTGTATGGTTTTACTAAGAAATTTTACATTCAGCAGTTTGCTATTGATTTCTGAACGGTCTTCTATCACTTCCATAATCAAAAGCAACACAAAGAGATCTACTGCCAAATCAGGTGGAAATAAACCTGGCACCTCGGAATTACAAAGCAGGTTCACAGTCTAAACTCCAAATGCCGATAAAAAGGAATAATAACAAACAAAAAAGAAAAACAGGGGACTAGAAAGTGAAGCTAAAAAGATGGGGGAGGTCATTGAGGGGAGAGGGGAGGGGGGGGGGGGGGTGAGTTGCATGCAATAGCAAAAGGCTAAGACTTGGAGTGAGTTGATTCTGGGCCTAGCTAAACTGGGTAACAGACACAGAAGAAAAGCCCATCCCATTTAACAATGGAGTCTGACAGAGCAGCCTGATGATCCGGACATCTAAATAATACAGATGCAAACAATATATTAAGGTCCTATAGGAGCCGGACTTTTTTCAAAAATGACCTTAGCTCTCAGGTCAACCCATTCTTAATTGGGTATCAGGTACAGTCCTGGAAAGTAAAGGTGGCTGGCGTGATGCTGACATCATCCATCGAGTGCCCACTGGTCTATAAAATAAAGGTCTAGCCCTATAAGCTTGAAGTCGTAGAAAGGGATCCTTTACTTAAAAAAAAAAAAACTTAGAGATAATCGGTCCACCCTGGCAGGCATGGGAGGCTAAGAAACAGACCTCCAGGGGGACCCAGGGTCCAGCTGGAAAGACAACATGCGACAATCCCTAGCTGACAGAGGACTGGAATGAAACAGTCAGAAAGAAAAACTGCTGATAGAGAAGTCAGGCAATCTATCTGGCAAACCTCTACACCCCAAGGTAGAAGAGGAGTGACCAAGTAAGTAAGAAATAAAAAATTTTTAAATGTAGATAACTAAATTATGAAACAATTTATTAGCCATGTGTGAAAAAAAATAAAAAAGATTTCTTCGGAATTTCCCATGGAGTCATGACCCATTATTTTTTAGCATTCGTGGAGCAAAAGGATTAATGGGTGCCCACACCAGAGGCATGAATTAAAATGGTATGACAGAAAGGCTAATGCAGAACTTATACATTGGAGCCAATACTGTATGAATTTAAACAATACTAGATTATTTGCTGAAAATGTTGACATTTTTCGCACAATACCATTCTGTTCACCTACCCATGACAGCAAACATCCAGCCCCCTAGAACACAGGCAAAGAGCACAAAGGCAGATATCCTTGCGGCAGTCATGAACAGCTGCCAGCCCCAGTGTAGCAAGAGTCTCACAATGTGACGACAGTGGCTGGAACTGTGTGCCGAACACTGGGTGTCACAGTAGGCCGTCACAGCCCAGGTCAAAGATAACAAAGAACAGGCGACTGAAAACCCTGGAAGTAAAGTGATTAGATAACTGTTACATATGATAATACTGAAAACTTTTATTATGCCACGCTTAATTTCGTTTGAAGTCAAAAGTGCAGCTGCCTGACAGGCAAGGAAAGAACAGACTGGACAAATTAGAAAGATCTTTAAAATGGATGTACACACAACACTCAAGTTCTGGAACAACGCCAAAGTCTAGATACAGATAAACAACCAGGACATTCAACTGTAGTCTACAGCCAGTGGACACAGAACAAAAAATATTTATAATTACTATATATATATATATATAAATACTGGCAGAAAATAGAGACAATAACTGCTTAGACAAGAGTTGAATGGGAGTAGATTGTGAGGATATACAAGAAGACAATGGAGAGATGAAGGTTATGTTATCACAGTCGACGTCCCTGCACACTGTGCATTATCGTGCATGCTCAGTCCTCCGATACAGCAGCTACTCCAAGGTACCTCTACTAATTGTTCACATGAGAAGTCGGTTATAATGTCTGCTATCTCAGCCTCGAAGGCAACATAGACATGCTTCATCATGTTTTACTTCCATGTCCCGCAATCGTGTTAGTGTCAGAGATTCGTCAAAATTCACCAGCCCAGTTCGTAGAGCACTGACGATATCTGCTCCGTCCATGCTTCTTATCATATGCATCAGTGCATTGCTTGCTAGTCTGCTTGCCCATGACCCTTTACGCTTGATCTGCACTTCACGGATCCATCTGAGTAGACGAGAGATGTATACACATACAGACCTACATACAAACAGCTGGAGTCACCAACTGAAAAGAAAAGGCAAATTACAGAGAATGGAGGCAGGTAATATCAGTAACCACGAATTTCAAAGACTGGAATGCTGCAGAAGAAGAAGCAAAAGATTATTATCACACTGAGAATCATTGCGCTGATGTATCCCAGGAGGGCTGATATTGAGCATAGTGGCTTACCCTCTACCTATCCTATTACCTCGACTAATTGGGGAGCTTCCTTTGAAGTCTGAGTGCATCTGCGGGAGAGGCAAGGAACCAACAGTCTGTATTCAAGAGAATGAGATCTGTAATACTGATGCACACGCAACACTCAGGTTCTGGAGCAGGACTGCAGTTCAGTAGTGGACGAGCAACCAGAACTTTCCGCCAGAGTGTACAGCTGGTGAACGCAGACAAGAAGAAGAAGACTATAAACACTAAAAAAAAAGGGTTAAGTAGAAGTTACACAATTTTTCACGTAATGGACTGAATATGCTCATAAAGAAAAAAGGTGGCAAATAAAGGCTGCATGTCCAAGATACCACCAGGCAGTGATCACATTCAGGCTGTTTAATTCTTAGTTTTTCTTATTTTCCTTGCATTCACATCAGTGAAATATTGCAGGAAAATAATAATCTTCATGCTCTTTTAAAAAATGTTTTGGAATTTGGCCTTAATTTCTCTAACGACGTTTCCTTCTTTTTTTTTAAATTCCTGATGACATCACAGCTTTTATATAATTCTCCTTTTGCCCTGTGCATCCTATATTTCTTCAGTGTGGGACTGTATGGTAGTAGCTGGTACCAGAACATTTTGGGTAGCTGATCAAACTATTTTTTTAATGTTTTTTCTTCTTCAACATTCTGAAGACACTAGGGTTCATTGCTGCAGATATCACCCACCTCTGTACTTTCATTATAGATTACAAGTATTTAAAGAACTTCCTGTGTGGGTTCCAGGGCCTCATTGGGGGGGGGGGGGGGGGGAGAGGAGGACATCCTTCGAAGTCGGAGGGCAAGGAACCAGGAGTTTCCATACAAAATAAGCCATATCTGTAAAATCATCATCAGTTCTCGTTATGCCTAGTGGCACATGAGGTTTCAGAGAGGACTTGCCTGCTTTCTTGCCCTGTGCAATCTTCAAAGCAGTTTTCCATGTCAAAGATGCCACACTAAGGTCACTTTCCATCAGTTGTCTCCATGTTGTTTTTGGGCCCCCTTTTTTTTCTCTTTCCCTCTGGTGTAAATGTGAGAGCTGTTTTGGCAGGTATGTCAGGATTCATTCTCATAACGTGGCCAAGCCATTTCCATCTTCTCTTGCTTATCATACTGTCTAGAGTTTCTTGGTTTGTGACTTGAAGTAGTTTAGTGTTTGAGATTGTATCTGGCCAGAAAATTTTGATAATTCTACGTAGACATGTGTGGTGGAAGGTGGACAGCTTGTTTACATCCTTTTTGGTCATTCTCCAGCATTCTGCTCCATAAAGAAGAACTGGCAAAATGATGCTCTTGTAGAGTCGGAGTTTTGTTCCTCTGCAGTAATTGTTGGATTTCCAGATTTGCCTCATTCTTCCAAAAGAAGCTCTAGTTTGTTCAGGCGTGACTGTATGTCTTCCTCTGTCCCTCCCAATAGGGACACCACACTGCTAAGATATGTGAAATGTTCTACATTTTCAAGTGATTGGTTACTTATGGTCACTGGTTGTAGGTTTGGACTGTTAAAACAAGACTAAAGTGACATGATCCCTGTCGATGAACACCAAGTAAACTTTCCACCGAAAAGTTTGCAGCCATGGTGAACTGGCGAATGTCATAATATTTTTCAGGAGTCTATAACGCTGTCAAAAGAACAATTAAACATAAGCCAAACCTAATATCTCGGTATTTCAACCAACCTGTAATCCAACAGATTCTCTTCTCACACAGTATTATATACATCTGCAACACCAGTTGAGGCGCCGACTGCAGGAAGGCTTCAATCAGACGTAACACTGACACATCACTGAGTGCTCTTAAAGCTTTCTTGTGTGCACAGAACCTTACGTGTCCTGTGGGATTTGATACCCAGCCACATAACATTCACATACCTGCAGATGGACACACACACACACAATATATTATATTTAAAAAAAACGAAAAAGGACAAAGTTAAAGTACAAGTTTCTATACTTTTCTTCTATCTATCTATCTATCTATCTATCTATCTATCTATCTATCTATCTATCTATCTATCTATCTATCTATCTATCTATCTATCTATCTATCTATCTATCTATCTATCTATCTATCTATCTATCTATCTGTCTGTCTTTCTCTGCTTAATACTGTTAGGCCTCACAGGCATGGCTAAAGATCAGTTTCTGGGATAGTGTGTGCTCGTTAGCTTGCTGCACAGTGATGATGTTGAGTTTTAGTAAGCTGTTCACTATATCTATCCATCGTCTTCTTGGCCTTGCTCTGCCTCTTGATATTTCCATTCTCATGTTGTATGCTCTTGCCAACAGTGATGATGGGTTTATTCTGACCAGGTGGCCAAAACATTTCATTGTTTTTCAATACACCCAACTGCAGGTGTAATTGTCTTGTGCTTTCCATTGAAAGGGTGGTTGGCACATTGTGTTGTGGTTTACAGCTAGGCTATGATATCTGTACCTTCAGCATAACACATCTTATTTCAGCAAGTCCCTAGTTTGCTGGCTTCTATGACATGCTTGTTAAGAAGCAGTGAGTCTATTCTTTTCTCTCACCAAAAATAAGGCCTCAGAATCCACACGGGGATCCACATCTTGGTTTCCAGATCGACCCAACATAAACACGGGTAACAGGAAATGTAAAAGGATGTAAAGGCAGCTGATGTGATACTGAACACATCAGCCATTCAGTGCAGGTTGGTCTAAAAAATATGAGACTAGCATCACATGTCTGAAATGCCTCAGGATATGGACAATTTTAATTTACTTTATTTACCATACTTCTAGACATTAATAGTTAGTTCTACAGTAGCAAATACCTCATATCATGGAAATGGATCATTTACTTTGATTACAACACTGCTAGACACCATAAGTTGTACAGTAGAAAATGCCTTGTCATGGAAATAAACAATTTAATTTACTTACAACACTTTTAAATATTAATAGTTCTACAGTCGAAAACGATTTATGTCATGGAAATGGATTATTTAAATTACTGTTAAATATCAATAGTCGTACAGTAGAAAATGTCTCAAGACATGGAAATGGATAAGTTTGTTTACTTACAGTACTGCTGTATCAATAGTTGTAAGGCAGTAAATATTCACAATTCAGATGCATAATCCTTCCTTTTTTCTATTGCATTTGCTCTTGGCATGCAGTGGTGCGGCTTACAGCTAGGCAACAATATCTGAGCCCTTCTGTCAAACACATTTGATTTCAGCAAACCACTAACTGGTTGTCTATTATTCAAAGGACAGAGCCATATGGAATAACTCAAGGCAATTAAGTTGCTCCTCTCTATTTTAAACTGTAACCAGTGTGGCTTTAGACTACCTACTCAGCTTTCAGCAACCTTTTTAATCTTCTAGGATAAATAATTCTACCAGGTGAAAGAAACAAATTCTGAAGTAAACATTTTATAGCCAAGACTAACAAAAACAGACATTTGCTATGTCAACAAGATTGTTTTGCATTGATTTGTATAACAGTATTGAAAGTACTATTCGTTCAGAAAAGCAATGGCAAACTATTGACAGTAAAAACACATTAAAACTAAAAACAGCCCAATAATGCTTTTTTCCCCTGCAATACCCTATAAAGGATACACAACTGTCTGTTTTGTCAAAAAGCAAGTACTCTACCTTTCTACCGGTGCAGCTAGCAGTAGATGTGACACAATGATAACTGGTGTTGCTGTTTTGTCACGAACATGCCAGACAGCACCAACCACACTTGTGAGAACCGCTGACAAAGAGACAAACACCGCCACCAGGGATCCCCAGACTGTTTGCCATTCAGAAACAGATGAATACACACACCAATATCTGCAAATAAGTTTACAAAAATATTTGGTTTGATTGATAAAGATGGGAAAACGCAATAAATACAGTTTTAAAAGGGGAGTATTTGGCAAGACACCCAAGAACACTGTAAGATATTTTAATTCACAAGTATTGATTGACACTCGTAGAAGTAGAGGAAATAAATAAATCATCACTATAAAAAAAGACCCTTTGCCAGTGGAGTATCAAACATATGGTCATGTGATTGTTCCTCTCCCGCGTTGCTGTCTGTAGGATTAACAACACATGGGTGAGAAATTTTTTCTTGGTCTTTACCGGCTGTAAACTCTGGCGGAAAGTTCTGGTTGTTTATCAACTTCTGGACTTCAGTCTTGTGCCAGAACTTGAGTTTTGCATACACATCAGTTTCACAGATCTGGGCTTATTTGCATATGCAGACTGTTGCTTCTTCACCCCTCAAAGCAAAGCAAACACACCTATTTAGTAGACTTTTACAACATATTTATTGGGAATAGACCTCAAACCCCATACAGGAAGGATGAGAATACAAACAGGAGCAGAATCTCAGAAACTCTGTTCAACCGTACAACAAAGTTATATCAGGACATCCCTATGGTTTAAAAAAAAAAAAAATTAACCTGCAGTTCAATGTGGGGGTGGATCAGGCCTATGGTACCAGACTCAACTTTTCACAGACCTATCTGCACTTGTTGGGTGATGTGGTCGGCATCTCACCATCTGCCTTTACATAACAGGACATGTGCTGGTAACCTTGTTTTTATGCTGAATCCGCTTGGGAGCTACTATAGAAAACTGTGAATTATGTAGACATGATTGCACGTACAAAGCAACTAATACAAGGTCACCATCCAATAGATGTGGTCTCATTGTGGCGTGTCCAGAAACCTGAGGATAGGTCAACCATGCTAATGCTATTAATGCTAGGGAAAGTGAAATATAGGAGCAGTCAGATGGACCTTCACATATACTATACTAAAAGACAGTCATTAGTAAGGTTCCAACATCATTGCAAACAGACTCCTTAACTGCCCTGTACATGTGCCGGTGGAAATCACATAACATGTCTTTCACTGTCCTATTTGAAAACTAATGACAAACTCGTTAGTCCTAGCAAAATCTTGAAGCTTGCACATGCAAAGTAAATGCATAAGGCAGACATCAGATGTGCCCACATTAATAGAGCAGAGCAACACCAAAATTGCAGCTCACTGTTGATATAGTCAGTCAATTACGAAAGGCAACATTCATACTACCATCTTTAGCACAATTCAAGTTCACAACACAAGGCCCCATATTTTACAACTGCTTCAAATATAACATATCAAGGTTAACTCAGTCTACAGAAACAAGAAGAAGCAAAAACATAATAGGCCTCTGAGTGAATTTTAGAGAGAAAAAAAATATTATTCAAGAGACAATACCAGTTATTTCAAGCAAGTGAAGAAGAAGATTTAGTGAAAGAAGGTGTGTAAGTTACTAAATTGCATCTTACTTTGCCACATTCTTTATAATTTTGTGAAATAAAAATGAGAATTAGAAAATGCATCAATTTATCAATACCAAAACTATAGTGTCAAAAAAAATTTTTTTTTTTCAAATCGTTAACAAAAAAACTTCATTGGCTTTGGTTGGTAATCAATAAATGATTTTTTCATCATCAATTCAATAAATCTTTTGATTTTTGACATCTTGTGTATTGCTCTTAATATTTAAATTATGATGTCCGACTTTTATTTTCAGCTGTTGAATACGTGGACTATATAAGTCATCATTTATTATAATTTATAATTAATAATGACAGTTCGGATCATTTGGAACAAGGTGGCTGCTGATATTTCAGATGATTTCCTAAATAAACAATACAGATGTTAATAATTTACTTTAGTTTTACTCAAATTAAATTGTAAAAGTAAACCATCCAGGGAGGTGTAAAAGGGAAATTAATTCTGTGTTGCTTAAAGTTGCAATACTAACTAATAATACTTGCAGACTGCGCAATCACTGATTTGATGATTGAATCAACACAAAAATGAGAACATGCAAAATGAATTGAAAGGCTATTGTTACTGTATTAGTATTGAAACTATGACTAACTTATCAACAAAACATTACCTGTGCCAACATCAAGAACAAACGTTACGAGTGAAACGAACGCAATGAATATATCAACAACATTAAAATAACTTTTAGCCATATTTTCAGCTATATTCTCTCTGTGGGTGGAATACTTTCATTGTTTAAATTTGGCGCATTGTCTCCGAGCATCCACCATTGTTGTGATCCTCGGACGTGAAAAATAATCACAACAATGTTTACGGAACGAAGAACTGAAAAGTCGCTATTAACTGTTGAACAACCTTTGTCTTTTGGAGTTTCTCTGGGTCTCCCAATACCTACAAAAGACATTTAAACTAAACTACAGACACATTAAGACACATTATTATTCTTTTGCATTTGTCTTTAAAGGCGTTTTGTTTGGGGGTTAAACAGACAGGCTGTGATATCTGTGCCTTTGGGCCCATCACAACCGATTTCAGCAAAAATTAGGCGTTTTACAACTTTCTTATCGGAGGGCGGGGGTTGGATTTATTCTGCCCCCCCCCCCCCCCCCCAATGGAACGTTGGAGCCCACACCTGGGGGGGGGGGGGAGTAATGCAATTAGTTCCTCAGTTTAAAAAAAAACACACACACACGCACACAGAGAAACAGGAATAACTTACAAACAGATGAAGCTTGCTAGTAGTAGCAGCAGCAGCGGCAGTGGTAATAGTAATGATAGTAGTAGTAGTAGTAGTAGTAGTAGTAGTAGTAGTAGTAGTAGTAGTAGTAGTAGTAGTAGTAGTAGTAGTAGTAGTAGTAGTAGTAGTAGCAGCAGCAGCAGCAGAGCAGTAGTAGTGGTAGTAGTAGTAGTAGTAGTAGCAGCAGCGGCAGTGGTTATGGTAATGATAGTGGTAGTAGTAGTAGTAGTAGTAGTAGTAGTAGTAGTAGTAGTAGTAGTAGTAGTAGTAGTAGTAGTAGTAGTAGTAGTAGTAGTAGTAGTAGTAGTAGTAGTAGCAGCAGCAGCAGCACCAAGAGGTGTAAGTAGCCCTCAATCCACGTATAGACGTTTTATTTCTACATGTGAACAGTAGAGACAGGCATGTTCCGTGCAGAATGACAGTCATCGCTTTACAGGCCCCAGGCAGTCAGCGTCCATTGGATATTTTCTTCAGAGCAAGGGGGTGAGTTTGATTCAACACCACTTGGTGGTAAATGGAGGCAGAACAATCTAGAGGTTGTGCAGGCACTTTGTGAACTAGTGGACAGTGCGGAGGCATTCATAGACCAACACGGTCCGAGCAGAACAGTTCAGTGGGGAGAGACCAGGAGATCTGATCGACGCTTAACACTCAGAGGAAAGGCAAGATGTAGATACAGTCAGACTGCCACCGGTACATCGGGACTGGAACTCTTCACTGGCTGTTGAAGATGTGGATAGAGCGTGTATGGGAAGGTCCGGAGTGCTATGATGTCTAATAATAATAAAATAATAATAATAATAATAATAATAATAATAATAATAATAATAATAATAATATCTTTTCTTGAAAAAGAAAGAAAGAAGCCAGTTAATGCTTTGCCCCACTTGTGTTCAGTGATTGATTCGTTCCACGCAGAAAAAAAAAACATTGCTCGATTTTGACATTTATTCACTATAATTTTTGTTTAAAAATGTGAAGTGACGCCATTCAAAGAAGCTGAAGACTTCACGTCTGCTAGTCTTCTCCGTGGTCTAGAGTTTCCACCCTATGGATATTTATCAAGAACTTCATTAAAAATTGCAAAGAAGTTCTTTCTTGAAAAGTGTTTTCTTAAACATATATTACTTCAAAAGTATTATTCTATCTTCTTGCCGGTCAGCATATCACACACCCTCACATACCCTCACACACCCTCACATACCCTCACACACCCTCACACACCCTCACACACCCTCACATACCCTCACATACCCTCACACACCCTCACACACCCTCACACACCCTCACATACCCTCACACACCCTCACATACCCTCACACACCCTCACATACCCTCACACATCCTCACATACCCTCACACACCCTCACACACCCTCACACACCCTCACATACTCGTACACTTCAACAACACCTGGGCCCAGAGACATATTTAGACTCGATAAAGCCCCAAACTACTCCAAACCCTGTGGTCCCTGCCATCTTAAATTACACCAGCTAAACTCGGAAAACGAGTCAGATTGTGACCGGTACTATCGGTAATGGAACTCTGCGCTGGCTGCTGAAGATGAGGATGGAGTACGCATGGAAATACCCCGAGTTCTGTGATGTCAGTTCTTGACACAACTCAACTCGGAAAACGTTAAACTACTTACGCCTTTTAAATATATGGTTAATAGAAATATATTTCTGTTTATATTTTATTTAAAGAAATATCAGAGGGTATTTACAAAATCACCGAAATCATATTAAATAATCGCGTAAAAGCTTTAAGTCAACAACTATTTTTGGCTTTATTTTCTAAACTGCATTTGTGAAAATACAATTGTTTGTTGTGTGTGTGTGTGTGTGTGTGTGTGTGTGTGTGTGTGTGTGTCTGTGTGTGTGGTCCCTGCAGGTTCCGATGCCCTAAGCTTTAGCTTATGCCTAAACCCAACAGTGCCTGGGCGTTTTGGCTCCCCCACTCCCCCCCCCCCCTTTTTCATGTTCATTATACAAACTGTGTAGGGGACTGAGGCCCCCCCCCCCCACCCCCAACCCTCCCGACCCATCATGTTTTCTTAATGACGGGGCGCCTACCTGCTGTTACTGCTCCTTCTAAACCGGTAGGGGGTTGTCGAGGCCAAGTGGTCAAGCCCTTTGCCTCACGCTCTGAAGGTCTGGGCTAGTTTCAGTGCGGCATCGTTCATTTCACGAGTGCAGTTTTTTTACGGAGAGCCGCGGGGATCGTCGCCGGAGCTACGGAAGTCGTGCTCCCTGCGACGCTCTCAGCAGGCAGCTAGATATTCTGCGGAGGGAGAGACTGAGCCATATGGAATAAAACCCGGTGCAATAAAGTCGAACCTCTCAATTTCAACTTCACCTTTGAACCACTAAGCGGGTCTACTGTTTTAAAAAAAAAACAAGCCAAATAATGTTTAGAAAATGTCAGCAGCCACATTGGCCTTTATTAGGTCTTTCAGTTAGTCGTGTAGATTTGGCAGCGTCGTTGATCATGTTCGGATCTACATCTACAAGTTCCGACATTTTGTCGCAGATAAGGTCCACCAGACGATCAAACACAGCGGACACATTGACGTTCTCCTTAGCTGAAGTCTCAAAGAAATCTAGACCTGCAAAATACAATAACATTTTGTACAACTTGGCCTCGTTTGGTGTATGCGTTTTAATCATTCGAACGCGGTTTCTAATCCCGAGATATCCAGATTGACATCAGCGTCACGCAATTAAACAGCAGATCGCTTTTTGTTGATTTCGACAATGGTACCGAAAGCCGCCATTGAGGTGCCTTGCCGACTGGCGTGGGCGATCATGCCTCCTCCATAATCTGCGATCTCCTACAGCATGTATCAGTTCGTGTGCCGACACACCTTCATCCATGCAACAAGACTGTCAAGCATCTTCTCTCGTTGTCTTCCTCTATCCCTCCTTCCACAGATCTTTCCAGTGGTCACAACATGTTCTATTTTCCCTTTTCTCATAACCTGGCCGAAAAATAATGACTGTCTCCTTCTGATGTCTGTGATAAGTTGTCTTCGGGCTCTCGCCTCTTTCAAAACCTCTTGGTTGCTCTTTTTGGCTGTCCAAGGTATTCTAAGCATTCTTCTGTAAAACCACATCTCTGAGGCCTCGTTGATCATGTTCGGATCTACATCTACAAGTTCCGACATTTTGTCGCAGATAAGGTCCACCAGACGATCAAACACAGCGGACACATTGACGTTCTCTTTAGCTGAAGTCTCAAAGAAATTGTTTGGCCTGCCTATCGATTGTCCAGGATTCACAGCCAAATGTTAAAACTGGATGTATGTAGCAAGCAAGAATTCTTTCTCTAACTTTTAATGACAAGGATATATTGCACAAGATGTTTTTCATTTTATAAAATGCCGTGTTTGCCTGTCCCATGAGGTGAATATGAATATTTTTCTGATTTTCCTGCCAGGAAAAAAGAAAAAAAAAACCCCATAAAAGGGAAGAAAGTTGAAAAGGAACAGAAATGAAAATATGCCTTCATACCAGTACATTATCTGCTTTATGCTGTATATTAAACCTGAGACTACAGTTTGATCCAATATAAGGACAGATCCCGAACTCGCGGATTGATTGCTCCAATGTCCGCCGACTGCCTGCTCCATATATTGGGTATAACTTGCCCATTGTTAAATGATCAACCGGAGCTTGACAGCCGTGGGTAGGTTGGGGGGGGGGGGGGGCGTATCCATGAATCAGGTTATCCTACGCTAGTCCACATAAATGTTCAGAAAAGTTCTACATTTAGATCTGGAGTGGGACAGGGGTGCCTTCTATCATCACAACTGTTCATCACATACTAAATTTGCAAATCAGTTAACATCAGCGAGGGGGACAACATCGGAAAATTACTAAATGAACTGCTTTTCGACATTGAGCAGGCAATCATAGCAACAACAGCAGTACAGCTACAAGAACATATTAATAGATTCCACACAGAATGCGACAATATGATATGAAGATCAACGTAGACAAAACAGAAGTGATGACATTCTCCAGAAAAGTAAGAACCACCAATATCAAAAAAAATAAAAAAAAGTCAAAGCAGGCTATCAATGTCAAAGATGGACACTGTCTTCAGAAAAACAGAAGGAAAATTGTCACGACAGAAATGAAACGTTTACGTTCTATGCTAGGTTTCACGAGGAACAATCGACTTAGGAACGATGGTATCACGAGGAGAGTCGGCACAGAACCAATACTGAACTTTATAGGTAGACAACAAATGAAATGTTTTGGGCATGTAACAAGATTGGCATCAGACAGATCACTACAGAGAGCAATGTTATACAGATACAACGGTAACAGAGCCAGAGGTCGACCATGCAGATGATGGACCGCAGAAATATCCGAGGCACTAAATAGTACTTTATACAAAGCGAACAGAAGGGCCCGTTCCGGAGATCTCTTCCTGTCCTGACGCCGCTACTCATTCCATGAGTAGAGAAAGGAAGAAGAAGCAGAAAAGTCCACTGCTGGCTTCATATGATGTATGTCCAGAGACTTGTGAGTCTATGTCTGTTATAAGTCTATGGAAAACCCTGGTTCTCATCTAAAAAAAGTCATGGTTTAAGTGCTCAGAGATAATCACAACCTTGGTGGAATGGCAAATCTTCCACAGAAGAAGGTCCTTGAGGAATCACTAGGGCCTTGCGACAGTTGCACTGAGATGACTTTCAGTGAAGCACATTACCTGCCAACTTATCAGGAACAGTACAAGGAGTAAAGATATATATTTTATGCTAGCAACTGTTGCCATGCTCCAGATACAATGTTTTTCTTTTCTATAGTGCAAACCATAGTGCTCTGACACTACAGTAGGTTCTTGGCCTTTGTTCTAGTTTTATGATAAATAAATGTTCTTCCAGTTTTATGGTTAGTAAATGTTTGAAATATTTACTTCAAATTTAATTTTGCTAACTTTTGTTACGGAATGTGGTTCCGCATAAATATTCTTCCACTATCACTGTGAAACAAATTTGAGGAATATATCAATTGTGGGAGGGTCTTTGACTACTTTTCTAGGTGTCCACATTTTCTATTTCAGTGGGTTCCACCTACCATGGAGTTCACAGAACAGGATTTTCTGTCTGCAGTTTATAATATCCCGGGACAATCCCTTAGTTATAATTATATTCTAGGTTTCTACACTTGTGCCATTATGTTGATCCATAGTCTAAACCTGAACCATTAAATGCTTTTCTGTTGTGGTCTAGAAAACATAAAATAAGTGTTAAACATCGTAGTTCTAATATTTACAATAAGCTTTTGTGTTTTAATACGAAAGACTAAATCTGTGTCCTCTAACAAGTACTAGCGGAACCAACGCCTTGAAAACTTTGGCGGTTAGGCCCCCCCTCCCCCAAGTACAATAGCTAGTACTTTGCTAGCCCTCTGAATCGGTGGTATTAGGTTCGAGTCCTCGGGGTATTTTAAACAGATATAGACAGACAGGATACCTATAAGAAACTCCTAAAGTGAGTTTGTAACTACGTACTTGCTTCTAGAGTGCTCCATTATCTGGACAGATTGCATCATCATCATTTTCATCATCATCATCTTGATCAAGTAGCATGTCGATAAGCGTAAGTTGCCATGTTTCACAAATTTCACACGATCAGCACAATCAAAGATCAGGCCAATGTCCTTGTCTCACCTAACCCTTTTTGGTTATTTATCCTCATAACATATTCGAACACATCGACTGTCTATTTCTTATGTCGCTAATCAGTTTTACCCTTTTTTTTATCTGTTTCAAGAAAGACTACCTCGATTGGTATTTTTTCTTCCTAACATTCCTTGATACTCTTTGCCTTTCTCTTAAAATAAAAAAGCAAAACCTCTTATGCTAGTCAATGTTTTTCTGCTTGTCTGTTTTGTTGTCAGTGACTCACATACGTTCATCTTCATAGGTATTCTTCGTTTTCCTAAAGTCCATGCCGTTTGGCGTTGATAGTCATGTCCACCCACAACCTTCTGTCTCATGTACTTTCAATCAACTCTGACACAGATGAACTTCCATGCCATGATCTTAAACTGTTCAGCATCTTTTCTCTCGATCTCCCACTGCCTCCTCTTCCCTCCAACTTTCCTACTGTAACGACGAACTCCAGTTTTCTCCTTCTCATCACATACCAGAGAATGTAGATTGTCTCTTTCTGATGTAGACAATCAGTTCTCTTCGTGAGTCAGTATTTTTTAATGACATCTTCATTACTCTTTTTATTTTTCCAGGGTATTCTCATCATTTGTCTATAAAACCACATCTCCGCAGCTTCCAAAAAAGTTCACCATTTCACCAACTGCCCATAATTCACTTCCGTATTAGTGTCTTTAAAACAAAAAGGTAATTCTGAATAAATTAAAACAACGAACAGAAAGAACACGTGAACAAACCCAGCGAGGTCGCCAATAATTGACCCTCTTGCTGCTGAACAATCCTGTTTGCTTGGTCACTTTTGTTTCCCACTATCACTATGGGCACATTCGCACAGGAGTGAATTTTTATCTGATAGATCCTGTTGAGAGGCAAACGTTAGTCAGTTAGTTCATCAACAGTATATCTCTGATGACACCAATTCTGAAATAAATATCATCATCGTATAGTGTCACAGATGGTCGCAGTTTGTTTCCTTTGTTCCGTTTAATTTTGTGTAACATTTTAAATGCCACTTATAGATTTTTGTTTTTAAAGTTCCACCCTCGTGGATTGCAAACTGCAGTGTTAATACCCCAAGACCAAGAATCAAACGAGGAGCTGCTGGCCGAGTGAATGCAACGTCGGGTTCTCATGCGAAAGACGCAACACTCGGGCACTTCTTCTTCTTCTTCTGCGTTCGACATTAGTCATGCTAAACATTGAGTCCCGTCTGGGTCAAAAATAGGATTGTGCGTTTAAGGTCGCCATCGGTCCCCCATAGCTTCTCTCGCAATGTGGATCCCCTGGGCCAGATACATAGTCTTTGCTGGGAGATGTAAGGGCAGTACTGCAGTATGTGCTCAGGGGTCTGTCTCTCTGCTCCACAATCACAGGCAGCAGATTATTTTATGCATATCTTGTACAGGTGTGCTCGAAAACCACAGCCCGAAGTCTAAAAATTGATGTTTGTTCTTTCCTGTTGAGTTTGTTTATGCTGTCTCTGGTCTGTAATCTCCATTCTGCCTTCTCCACTCCCGCTTGAAAGACTGCTTTAGCGCTGTTTTGGTTTCATTGTAGCTGTGTGGGGGATGAGGTTGTAGAAGATAACTCCCAGCTTTTGCCAACTCATCTGCTCTCTCGTTTCCTTGAATACCATAGTGGGCTGGTATCCACTGGTTCTGCTTCCCTGGAGAGTAAGCCAATGTTGGTCCTTATATCTGCTATTAGTTTGTCTACTCGGGCACTGGCACAAAGCCAAAGTGACGACCAACCAGGACTTCCGCCGGAGCTTAAAGCCGACCAGCAAAGAATAAGCAGAAAAGCAAATAGTTAGGTCATCTCGTTACAGTGCAACCACATGAATTACCAACACTGGCGGCTTGACACGAAGCGATCTGACGTGAACTCCAGAGGTCGCCTAGAAGAATATCAACCGATGACATTAGTTTACCTTTCACATCTACACCGAATGACTATAGCCATTGCTACCCAGTGGATCGCAAATCGTTGTTGCTCATAGAGCTTAACGACCCCCCCCCCCCCCCCCACCTCACCACTCCCACCCTCTGACCCTACACCGCTCTGAAGAATACAGGCAGTAAAAAAGATTTCAAGGAAAGAGGGTCCACTTCATTGCACCAGATTTGAACATAAGTCATTAGGTATGAGCTAGGCTGAGTTGATTCAAGGACCGACATCACAGCACTCCATCCCCATCTTCAGCAGCCAGCAGAGTTCCAATACCAATGGTGCCAGTGGCAGTCTGATTATACGTGCGTCTTGTCTGTCATCGTTCTTTAATAGTTGACACCAGTATAGCTAAGACCAATTACTAAAACACTGGCATAGCGCAGTGATATTCTAAACTAACGGTTACATGGCGCTTGAAACCTGACGTAATACATATAATAAAATACGGTGCTCAAATAACTGATTTCAAAAAGTCTACAGTCCATAAATATATACCCTATACCTACCAATCCTGAACCGCGCCGAAAGACACTTCATTGGTGACGTCATACATCAACACAAAACCCATTGCCCCTCTATAGTAAGCTGTGGTGATGGTGCGATATCGCTCTTGACCAGCAGTGTCCTGTGTAGGAGAGCAGAACACTAACAAACATATTGCTGCGTCTTGTTTAACTCTGACATTTTCCAGTCTCAATAAATTGTTACCTCAACACCTCCTATTCCTAGAAACTGAGCTTAGAATCAATAAAATTTAAACCTGCGTGTTTTCAGCAAAGACACTGCGGCAGAAATAGTCAAACTACTCCTTCCGACACAAGGTAATAAATATATGACTGACTGACTGACTGACTGACTTTCTACCCCACCAGGAGCTTCTTTCGATACAAGGTAATAATTTATGACTGACTGACTGACTTTCTACCCCACCAGGAGCTCCTTCCGATACAAGGTAATAATTTATGACAGACTGACTGACTTTCTACCCCACCAGGAGCTTCTTCCGATACAAGGTAATAATATATGACTGACTGACTTTCTACCCCACCAGGAGCTTCTTCCGATACAAGGTAATAATATATGACTGACTGACTGACTGACTTTCTACCCCACCAGGGGCTTCTTCCGATACAAAGTAATAATTTATGACTGACTGACTGACTGACTGACTGACTTTCTACCCCACCAGGAGCTTCTTCCGATACAAGGTAATAATTTATGACTGACTGACTGACTTTCTACCCCACCAGGAGCTTCTTCCGACACAAGGTAATAAATATATGACTGACTGACTGACTGACTGACTTTCTACCCCACCAGGAGCTTCTTTCGATACAAGGTAATAATTTATGACTGACTGACTGACTTTCTACCCCACCAGGAGCTCCTTCCGATACAAGGTAATAATTTATGACAGACTGACTGACTTTCTACCCCACCAGGAGCTTCTTCCGATACAAGGTAATAATATATGACTGACTGACTTTCTACCCCACCAGGAGCTTCTTCCGATACAAGGTAATAATATATGACTGACTGACTGACTGACTTTCTACCCCACCAGGGGCTTCTTCCGATACAAGGTAATAATTTATGACTGACTGACTGACTGACTGACTGACTTTCTACCCCACCAGGAGCTTCTTCCGATACAAGGTAATAATTTATGACTGACTGACTGACTTTCTACCCCACCAGGAGCTTCTTCCGATACAAGGTAATAAGTTATGACTGACTGACTGACTTTCTACCCCACCAGGAATTTCTTCCGATACAAGGCAATAATATATGACTGACTGACTGACTTTCTACACAACCAGGGGCTTCTTCCGATACAAGGTAATAATTTATGACTGACAGACTGACTTTCTACCCCACCAGGAGCTTCTTCCGATACAAGGCAAAAATATATGACTGACTGACTGACTTTCTACACCTCTAGGGGCTCCTTCCGATACAAGGTAATACTATATTCTTCTATTTTCGCTCTTATTGTTGTTCACTGTCTCTAAACTCCAGTGGAACGTTCTGGTTGTTTGCCCACTTCTGGACTTAATTATTATTCCAGAATTTGAGTTTTGCGTGCACATCTGTTTTCTGATTTGACTTACTTGTATGCACAATGTCGACTCCTCGCCTATCAGGCAGATGTACTTATTCTAGAAGGAAACACCACCTAATCAGTCGATTTTCACGATATGCTTGTTAGGGAGGCAGTGGGTCTGTTCTCTATGGGACACTGCATCCTTACGGGGAGGTAATCGGTTTGTGACACAAGGCAGAAAGAGAAATTAAATTATTTCTGTCCCCGTGTGGGTGCCGGGTCCCCATTTTGTGGGAAGACATGCTGAAATCGGATGCATCGGACGAAAGGTGCAGATATCGCAGCCTAGCTGTAAACCACAAACCTTCATCCTAAAATGCTCATTCAGTGAAAACACACAAGATGAAAGAGAATAATACAAATAATATTTATAACAAATTCACTTTAAGGTGTCAAAATATCAACATGCACGAAAAAAAAATCAGCTTGAAAACATAATCACAAAATTACAACACGTGAGAAGAGGTGGATAAGAAATTCAGCAGGGAAAAAAAAATACAAGAAGAGACAGAATCACCAACGAAGAACTAAGAACAAGGGTAGGCATGATACCCGTAAATGATTTCATGGAACATCATAGAATCAAATGGTTGGGCCAGGTGGTCACAGTGGAACAAAATCAGTCAGCTGCTAGAGCGTATTGGATTAGAAAAGGCTACATGTCAAGAGGCCTACACAAAAAAAAAAAAAAAACGTGGATGGGTGGAGTAAAGGAGTCACTACAGAAATGCAGTATCACGTTAATACAAGCTAAACAGCTAGCAAAAGGTTGGAAGCTTTATCTAACTGGTCTCTGTGACGCTTCACGGTATAAGCTTATGATACAAGAAGAAGAAAAAGAAAAGAAGAAGAAGAAGAAGAAGAAGAAGTTCTTTATTAATATCGTACCCCCAGATTACGTCACAGGACAGTCTAACATTTTAGAGGGTGGTAAGACTGGGTTTCCCAGCTTTCTGAAGCTTTTAACGACCTCAAAACATCTAGAACTGACCCTAACCCCAACCCACCTACGTCCCACGAGAGAGTGCAACCTAGGTCCCACGACTGCATGCAGCCTAGGTCCCACGACTGCATGCAGCCTACCACCCCCTGAAATATTAAACTGTCCCATTGACCTGTGGATTTCCCCTGTTTGGGGTAGGATATTATTAAAGCCCCAAAGAAGAAGAAGAAGAAGAAGATGAAGAAGAAGAAGAAGAAGAAGAAGAAGAAGAAGAAGAAGAAGAAGAAGAAGAAGAAGAAGAAGAAGAAGAAGAAGAAGAAGAAGAAGAAGAAGAAGAAACAGAATATTTACGTTAAAACAACGATGCATTCTTTTTACGTTAAATTACCCAAATTTGTAACTTGATCCTCCTGTTCTTTCGTAGGATACTTTTCACTTTGAAGTCGATACCCACTGTGCTGACAAAAGTAGACGTAAAGGAGTTGTCAGCGTAGCGGAACAAGAAGCTTGTCTTCCCAACACCGCTGTTTCCAATGAGGAGCACTTTGAACATATAATCAAAGGCCTGTGGGTCGGTGAGCGGGGCTGTCTGTGGATGATGACAGAGGCATCAACTTACTAAGGGTCATCTGATGATTGGTGCTTACAGTCAACATGTAGGATAGGCAGATTTCTGATTTTAGAAGCAGCAAGTTTTGCTTTTGACAATAGTAGGCCGTTGTATTTCCTCTATGTGAAAGACCATATGAAAAGCTTAGATACTAAATTGAGTACAGGGCGCGACACTGTGGGCTGAGGATTTCATTTAGAATGCTATTCGACTGTGTCCAGCGTGACTTGTGTTGTGTACTGTAGATTCAGACAGTGAGAAAATGGCGAGTGGTCTGGTGCCAGAAACTAACGGTGCCTGTAATTAAAAACGTGTTCAGCTACTTATCTATTGTAACTGCTGCTTCCATGTGAGACAAACGACATTTCTAGTGTCGAACTGTATGCGTTGACACTTCTTATGGCTACATTATTTATTTAATGCGTCTATTGGAATTGCTGCGACTGCAGTCTGTGTCCATTTTTCCATAAGGGACAGTGATGGAAATTTTGTGAGGCTTTCATTGGTACGGGAACGGAATATCTTAGATATGATCTGTTTGCTATAAAGTTTTAACTGCGATTTCCAAACTACTTGATTTTCTATTGATCAAACACACCATCCCCACCTTGTGATATCAAACATATGCAATGAGTAGGTCATTAGAATAGAAAAAAAAAAACCACCTGCGAATTAGGCTGTCTCTGAAGGTCACTAATAACATTAAAAAAAGGAGGGAAAAGGGGGGGGGGGGGGGTACAACAGTCCCAAATACTGGCATAAGAGAGAAGGTTGCAACAAAATCGTACCTGAATAACAATAAAAGGCAGAATTAATTAGATGGGCATCTAATAAGACTACAAACAGATCAAATTATAGATGAAACCTTCTGCAGCCGAACATCTGGCCAGAAAGCGAGACGACGACAAGGAAGAGATGGAAACACGGCTATGCTGAAACCTGCAGAAAGATTAATATAACCATCACTCAAGTCACACGCCAAGTACAATACAAAAACATAAAGATACGACATTGGACTACAACTTGGTAACAATGTGACGCCAGAAGAAGCAGATGATGATGATGAAGAAGAGGAAGAAGCAGAAACAGAAGAAGAAGGAGGAAGAAGAAGAAGAAGAAGAAGAAGAAGAAGAAGAAGAAGAAGAAGAAGAAGAAGAAGAAGAAGAAGAAGAAGAAGAAGAAGAAGAAGAAGAAGAAGAAGAAGAAGAAGAAGAAGAAGAAGAAGAAGAAGAAGAAGAAGAAAAAGAAGAAGAAGAAGAAGAAGAAGAAGAAGACAAAAAAGAAGAAGAAAGAAGACAAGAAGAAGAAGAAAAAGAAGAAGAAGAAGAAGAAGAAGAAGAAGAAGGAGAACACAAGTGTTGACTAGTTAATGATTAGGCCACATATGCATCTTTCTGTTAGTCATCAGTCAAGTTTACATTTCCACAGCAGACGGGTCACCCCATTACTGTTCTGCTCCTGTGTCAGTGGAAATCACAGAAAAATTTTCCTAACTGTCCCATTTAAAGACTAGTGAAAAAACATGCAAGTATCAGCCAAATCCTGAAGATCCCACACATAAAGTAAATGCACTAGGTAGCCGTCATATGTGCCAAAAACAACAGCCCTATACCAGAATTGTATCTCACTGTTGTTGCATGCAATTAATTACGAAAGCTGGCATTGTACACGCAATACTGTAAAAGTACACGCCTTTCAAAACGTAATCAGCCCCCTCTATTTTTAATGCAGTTGACAGCGAAATCGCAGGAGAAGAATTCCATATAAAATCCACAGCTAACAGTGTCTCATCAAGCAGTCAACTAAGTAAGTGGGCAACGGAACCTTTGGAATGCGATCCAGACGTGAAATGTGAAATGTGCAGTGGTAAATCCTGCTTCTATACACTTGTTGCGTGCAACCTTTCAATTTATTTAGTGCATCGACACAGTTGTTACGTGCTGCCACCTTTCAACTTATTTGGCACGTCGACACATTTGTTACTTGTAAGTTTTCAAATCATTTGATACACAGTGGTTAAGTGTAACCTTTCAACACATTTAGTACGTCGATACAGTTGTTACGTGTAACGTTTTGGTATCTTTACTTTACACTTCACCTTCAAGCTCAACTGCATGATTATTAGTTTTTAATTGCATCTCCTTGTTATGATTTCTGTAGTTGATGTCAGGCAAATTATTCATTGTTTCCCTGTTATTTATCACAGGTAAAACCTCCCAATGGTAGAAAGCGATTTGTAAGAGCCTACAAAATGATAACATATCTTAACGAACCAAACATATGTTGTCACAACTGAGTTCAAACCATTTTGACTTTAATAAAGAAATGTCATGGGAATTAAAGGTAAGATGTTGACCATATCATAGGAATTATAATGTTAACATGTCTTTTCTGTGAAGTTAAAGAGCATATTGTTTTGTTAATTTCATGGCAAATAAGGGTTAGGGTTTAATACCATTGTCGAGAAAAATCAATCCTTCCACCCCGGTTATCTAGAAAAGAGGAAGGGGGCACACAAAAAAAAAAAAAAAAGGGGGGGGGGGGGGGGGGGGGTGGGGAGGGGTGAAATTGAATTGATTAAGGTGTCCAGTTTTCAGATATTATTGTCCCATTGCCACATTACCAATGAAGCGCCGATTGGTCTACAAAATATATGGGTTTGACATCATATACTTCAAGCGGCACTTGCGTGAAAGTATCTTTTACATAATTAAATCTAATGTGTGAACTCAACACATCTCTCTATACCAACCAAAGCGCACACACTTACCCCTGGTGTGCCAACAGCGTCATCTTTAGGTACTTCTTCCATGTCACTAGGCACAGTACTTGGATCTGACGGAAGCATGGAATCAATGCATAACTAGCACTTGATTAATAAATACAGGAAAAACCGATCCACAAAAAAAAAAAAAAAAAAACTAATAAATTAATCTAATCTTGGCGCGATGGGGGCTAGCCGTGTCGGTGTTAAGTCTGATCAGTAAGTGAAATCCTTAAAAGAAGGATAGAAATTACAATAAACATGCCACCATCTTGTAACCTGTTCTCTTTGGTGCATGTCAAGAGTGGGGCTATCTGTAAACTGTCATTTCAAAGTCACTGTGTTCGTCTATACCGGGAAAACAGGTGCTTAACACTCCTGACATCCTTAACAACATTTTTGACAGGTTGCAAGAAAAAAATGGCACACATACTGTAATTTTCTATCACACTTTTAAGGTTCTGATGCCCCTTGTATAAACTATGGGGAAATGCCCATTTTGTAGCAGTTATTAGCTAGTAATGCCCTTGTAGATGCAATTTTTGTTATTTTGAAGCCCCACCCTGGCTCTTGCAGGGGCCGCAACATAGCCCGGCTAAAAATATGGTCTAATGGCTGAACGCGGTTTCCGGGGCCTCTCCACTAGTGATCCTCATCTACATTGTGGCACTTTGGGTAATCGGGTGTTTATCGCTTGTTTGATGTCCTATTGGGGTAAAATGTACTACTACTACTACTACTACTACTACTACTACTACTACTACTACTACTACTACTACTACTACTACTACTACTACTACTACTACTACTACTACTACTACTACTACTACTACTACTACTACTACTACCGTTTTGAAAGCTTCGTATATAGGACCTCCAATTTTCTTTCTCCGTCGTTTACATCGCAGCCTCTAGCTTTTTACCTGGTCCTTGCATCATCGTTGGTCGTCGAGGTATGCTGTGTGCAGGCTGTCGAGTTAGATCTTCCGGACTATTTCACCTGTTTTCTACAGAAATCTAGCGCTACGGCTAACTCCGTTTCCTCAACTATTTCTTGATTTCTGCACCTTTCATCGGCTGATATGTCGAGTTTTCTTCTCCGGAATTCGAACTCAAGTGTCCTTTTGTTCTTCTTCTCTCCAGATTACTGCTTACCGATAATCATTCAGGCTTTCGAATGTAAATGCTGCAGACGCATTTTACGAATTAGTTATTTAGAACACGAAACTAATAAATAAGTCAGAGAAAAATATATACATTTTCGGCACTTGGCAGAGGTGAAACGTCGCAAGCTAGCTTGGTTTGGGGACGAGGTGAGACTTGATTCGATTGCAAAGATTGTACTTCAAAGAACTTGGGGAGGGGGGGGGGGGGGGGGGGGGGGGGGGGGAGTCGAAAAAGAAGAGGAGGGCAAAGAAGAACCTGAACTGACAAATCAAGAAATGGACACGACTAAGTTATATTACAGAAGGTGAGTTTTAAGTGCACAGCCGATTTACAAATCTGGCTTTTTTTTTCTGGCAAGCAGACTGTTGGTTCCTCGTCTTTTAGGCTGGTTGAGGTGCCGGATGCCCCACACGGTGAGGTAGCAGAAGTCAAGATTATGTTATTGATTATCCTTCGAGTTATATCTTGAAACTGCAGTTATGATAATAAGACTAAAATCCCCGAATCGATGTTACTCGATTACAGTTGATCTAACCGTCCACACCTCGGTTGAGAAGTAAATACTGTATTACAATCAGCCAGCAGGCAGTTGGTAGTCAACATATCTCAGGAAAACACCCAGTCCTGGGAAATTTCTGTATGCATTGATGACAAGCAGGCATAGTAGTGTTAGATATTACTATTCATTGTTGTGCATCAGTTATGAGTTATGAGTTGGATTATCTTCACAGCACTCCGGAGACGTCCATAGTGCTCAGGCTTCCCTTCAACATATTCATCAGCGTTTAATAGTGCCAATTCTATGCTGGTTGACGAGACTATTGTGCGTCTGGTGTGATTCTCATGCTTAGCTGTGTCGATCTTTACTTCCAATTCTCGTATTCTTATCAGTGATGTAGATATTTCTTTCCAAAATCCTCGCAACATCATTTCTCTCTAAGGGCATTGACAATGTCTGCGTGATCCATCGGCCGACCATCTGCAAATAATGCATAACCTGCCAGTCTATCAGCTCTTTCATTGCCAACAAAACCTGCGTGCCCTGGGA